CCCAAGAGTTGGAGATTGCTATGAGCTATGGCACCATGGCACTCTACCCAAGGTGACAGCTTGAGACTCTTGTCTCAGAAAAAAAAAAAGAAAGAAAGAAAAGGCACAGGGAGATTCAGTGTCTGGTAAGAGCCCATTCCTCACAGACCACACCTGCTTGCTGCACGTGCCAGAAGGGACAAGCCAGCTCTCCTATGGACCTCTTTTGTAAGGGCTTTAATACCATGTGAGGGCTCTGTCCTCATGACCTAATCACCTCCTAAGGGTCTCACTTCTTTTTTTTTTTTGAGACAGAGTCTCATTTTGTCACCTTCAGTAGGGTGCTGAGGCAACATAGTTCACAGCAACCTTAAACTCTTGGGCTCAAGTGATCATTTTGCCTCAGTCTCCTGAGTAGCTGGGACTACAGGCAGCCACCACAATGCCTATCTGTGTTTTAGAGACAGGGTATCATTCTTGCTCAAGCAACCCACCCACTTTGGCCTCCTATAGGCCTGAGGCTGCAGAGCCCTGCCCCAGGGTCTCAATCCTGAATACCATCACCTTAGGGTATGAATTTTGGAAATGGGGAAGGCAGGAATGTTCAGACTATGACACTGGTATTTCTTTTTATGTGATTTTCTAATGCATGTCCTTTGCACATTTTTTCATCTACTACATCTCTGTTTTTTTAAATTTATGAAAGCCCTGTGTATGTCAGTGATATTAAGCCCATCAAATATATGCTGTTTGGGGCCTGGGATGGGACAGAATCATGGACTATTGTCCTGAGAATCTAAAGAGGTGAAGTACTTCTATCAAGGCAGAGAAGGATAGTTAGGTTTCACCATCAAAGATCGGCTAAGCCAGTATGGGATTCACAGAGTTATGATGAGACAGTTATCAAGTGAAACCTATATCAGTTTTACATAAGCTAAAGTGAAATTAGGGGACAAACTGGTTGGGGATGCCCCATTCTTGAGGGGTTCCCCTGGTAAGCATAAGGGGGAATTCCCTTGAATATGGTAGAACCTTAACAGTAAATACAGGGGCTAGAGGGGAGAACACATCCCTGCTTGCTAGTAGGAGACTGGAAGAGGCTGGGGAATTCCTCAAAACTCCATTTACAGAACAGGAGATCCCCTGCTATTACTCAAAGTTCCCTTGTTACAGAGTATTCTGAGAGATGTGCGATCACTATCCCACTTAGCTTTGTTTCTGACTCTGTCTCCCTCTGGGGTTTAAAGCAGCAGTCCCCAAGCTTTTTGGCACCAGGAACTAGGAAAACAAATTTCAGGGGAGACAATTTTTTCAAGGACCAGGGTGTGTGTGGAGTGTCATTAGATTCTCATAAGGGGCACACAACCTAGATTCCGCAAAACCTAGATCTCTTATAATTATGGTTTATAGCAGGGTTCATGCTCCTGTGAAAAATCTATAGTCATTGCTGATGTGACAGAAGGCAGAGCTCAGGGGTTGATGTGAGCTATGGGGAACTGCTGTCAATACAGATGAAGCTTCACCTTCTGCTCACCTTCAGCTGGATGGCCCAATTCCTAATAGGCCACTGACTGGTACTGCTCCTCAGCCTGGGGGTGGGGACTACAGGTTTAGAGAAAGACAACTGGATACACACACACACACACACACACACACACATACGGATAAATATATAAATATGCATGCATGTACACACACACACACAACTTACTGATACTATTCGGTGGTCCTAAAATTTAAGTCATTTATTTGCACCACCTGAATCTATTATAGTGACATTCATTCCTAATCTGTTCATATTTGAACACAATTCCAGATATAATAATAACATTAGCATAAATTTATAAAGTGCCTATTATGTAATACGGATACAAAATAAGAAGAAGGAAAGATCTGAATTCAACACTTTTGGAGTGAAAACAGGCTTAAAGTGAAACAAAAATTCTTAAGTCTGGGTGGCGCCTGTGGCTCAGTGACTAGGGCAACAGCCCCATGTATAGAGGATGGTGGGTTCAAACCTGGCCCTGGCTAAACTGCAACAACGACAAAAAATAGCTGGGTGTTGTGGCAGGCGCCTGTGGTCCCAGCTACTCGAGAGGCTGAGGCAAGAGAATCGCCTAAGCCCAAGAGCTGGAGGTTGCTGTGAGCTGTGATGCTACAACACTCTACCAAGGGCAACAAGATGAGACTCTGTCTCTAAAAAAAAAAAAATTCTTAAGTCTATTTTCACTTCCTATCACCTTATAGTAAGTAACTCATTCTTCTTTTTATGGGGAGAAGGCTGTAGTGGTTAAAATCTAATACATGTATTTATTTGCAAAATGCCTAGAATTTTAAAAAATGCATTAACGATAAAGCATGGTATTATTACCACATTCTTCTATTTGTGGTACATGTTATATGCAGCTACAGTAAGCAGAATTCTCTCATTTCTCTAGGGTACAAATCAGGTCAAGATCACAGGCTTCACTGTCTTCAGTTTTCCAACAATTAAAGCAGAACATAAGCAAAAAAATCCTATAACTATACCAATGTGAGGAGCTGTATAAGAATTTCAAGCTGTTGCACTGGTGGCCAGATGACAATATGGATAGGTGATAATATGCTTATTACTGAGGAAATAACTCAAAGCCAAAATCTTTTTGTGGCAGGGTAGCTGTATCATTCTTTACATAAAAATTATACACATAGAAAATTAATGTTTTTGTTTGATATACACTGCTTATTTACATAGGTACTAAAATTATAGTGAATTAACTAAAAGTTGTTTTGAATAAATCTAAACAACCAATATACATGTGTCTAGCTGTGCATTCATGTACCTAGTCCATTTAAAAATACTAAGACAAATAGTATTTTACGTGTTCAAGAAAATTTGTTTATATTGAAAAACATACAATATTCCACATTATGCAACCTTTAAATATTGCTTATTCTTAAAATAGAAAAAAGTTCTGAATAAAATAAGAATCATAAACCCAGAGGCCTAAAAACAGTAATATGTGCTCTTTATAAAACATATGTATATAATCTTACATTAATACATTATGTAGGAGGTTCAAGCCTCTAACATAACTCTTCCCATTAGGTAATATATAACTGTAAAGAGTTCATTTCTCACTTTTTTCTATGTGCATAAGATGTATTAATGTAAAAATTACCCTGCCCTGCAAATATCCTTTTTTAAACTCAACAATTATCTTGAACCTATATCAGTTTGTAAGTAGAATATGTTCTAATAAACATATTTTTTAAAAGAAAAAGCTCCTCCTCCATAGTTTGATATCTTTTTTAACCTGAAATAGGCTGGAACAAAAGTAACTTAAGACTATCTCACATTGTAAATTGGTAAATGAATCTCAACACGTTATTATTTGCTAAATTTAGCATATGAAAAATTTAAAAACTCTTCCACAAGATAGAACTAATGGTTTTGTTTGATATACAACACTGCTTTTTCTTCCAGCTCATTCTGTTCTAATCGATCTAAATTCCATATGCAATGTAAACTGTTTGTTTTTAAAAGTCTTAAAAGTTAATTCTTGTCTTTAAACCCATAATCTTCGGAGCCGCACACCACGTCCGTATAAGTAGACTCCTCCCCACTTCTGGGGAAAACCCTGCCTAATATTTATAACGTTATGACATACTGTAATACTCACAAGGTGGTTGTAGAAGTATAAACACGACTGGAGTTATCTGATTGGCTGCCGGTGATGTAACACCCATGTCAATACTTCCCAGTGAACGCACGTGTTCGACCTTTTATTTAAATTTCCATTTCATCACAGCAATAAGACACTCGGGGCGGTGCATTTTCTGTGAAATGATTATTGCCAAGAACCTGAGGTGCTGCCTCGCACGATGCATCAGAGAAGGAGGTGTCGGTGGTTGTAACCTCCTCGCGGGAAAAGCACCGCCTGGTCCAGTCTTTGTGAAGGAACAAAATAAGTTCACTTCCCTGGGCACCGCCACCCGCCCCCAGCAAATGACAAGGCAGGAGCGCAGCTCCCACCGCACAGTTATTTGCAAAGTCCCAGGTGAACTCGTGGCGAAAGAAGGAAAATGTGCGTCCCGGGCGCGGGTAGGTGCGTGCGGGCAGCGGGGAGGCGGCCAGACCCTGACACTCGCCAGCTGTTTGTCCTCCGCTTAGCCCGGCCCCGGCCGCACACGCCCGCCCCCTCCCTGAGACCCCCAGCCTGCCGCCCGGCCTTTTGTCCCCCGCCCCTCGGCCGACTTCCTTCCCCGCGGCCGCACCCCCGCCCCCAGGCCGGAGGCGCGGCCCAGCCCCTTTCCCGGTCCCCTGGCGCCCCCACCCCACCCCAGCCCAGCCCCAAGCCCAGCCCCCCTCCCCCAGCCCGGCCCCCACCCTTTCCCCCTCCAGCGGTTACTGCTACCCCGGTGCATTGTGGGCGCACGGTCCGTTGTTCATTTGCCATTCGACCTCCGCCAGGGCCTGGTCGGACGGAAACGCTCCGCCGGCTTTATTGTCGGTTCGTTATGTGGCGGAGCCCAGCAGTTTAACGTGCCTATCGCCCTCAGCGCCTCTGAAGCCAGCGGCGGCGTCGGGACTCCTCAGCGCGCCGGAGGAAGGATATCTGTTTGGAGGGTCGGTGTGTGCGCGCGGCTTTAAAGAGGGGGCAGCGGAGTGTACCGCCGCACTCCACCTCAACTTCGAAGGCCCCACGCGACCCCGGCTCGCTCCTCACCTCTCCGCCGCCCGCCCCCTTCTCCGCGCGGGACTCTGCTCGGAGCGTAGCGGGGCGGGGGTGGAGGACGAAGAGAGCGGCCGGAGGCG